CCAGATTGAAACCACTATGTTAATTTCCACAGAACTGTACTGTTACAAATTGCTTGTTTGCATCTTTGTTTTTGCTGGTTAGGGACTAATCTTTCCTGACTGAAAAACTAGAATTGTTCCAGCCCATGAGAACACTTCAACTTGATTCAGAATAGTTCCCTTGAAGGAATAAAAAGCCAGTGAGGAAAAGGAATGATGTGGCAACATAATGATATAATGGCTAGGAAAACTGGGGCATTTGAAAATTCCTGGTCATTTCAATGGTCAGATGAATGAGATGGAGCCATCTCCCCAGAATGGAAGTGCTCCTGGTGAGCGTATGGGTCCTGAAAATAAAGTTACATTTGTTTTTTATTAACAAAGAAAAAGGAGAAAAAGTAAGAACGAGTACCTTGATCCTGGAGATCCAGTAAAAATAAACAAATAAAAAAACCCAAGCCACCATGAATTTGAGACCATTCAACTTTTTGTCTCTTTGCAAATGTATTTGTATGAACTTGGCAGCCTCCTAATACTTTGTCAGCCAGACTGGCCACATCGGACTATCTACATGCCCTTGAAGCTGGAATAGTAATGTACTGTAATGTGATGCTCTAACAAAAGCACCTGATTGTGAAGAACAACCCATTTGCATCAAGATAAGCAGCTAGTAATGTTTCCCTCTCATAGCCACTTACAGACACTGACTTCGGCTACAAATTACTGGCTGGCGCTGTTTTCAGCCTTTCCCACTCTTTATTGGACCTTAACAAAGCTGATATTGTACTCATTACCCTAACCTGTTTTCTGGTTAGTGTGAGTGACTAACAAAATTATGTCTTGATCCATGATTCATCTTGAATAAAGTATTTTCCAGTCACACAGCAAAAGCCTTGCTGAAAGTGGAAAGATTTTATCTTTAGCACTGAGCCTTTGCTTGTGTGCTCCCAAAACTCAAGCATTTTGTATCAAGATATTTATTAGTATCAAACATACCATCAGTAGCCAAAGTTGCTTCTGCTGTCAGGGCATGTCTACAGCCATAATGAACTTGGCAATAGCCAAAAGGAAATGAAGCGTACAGAAATTAAATGCACTGTGGGAAGCACGTGATGTGTGGGATTCCTTCATGGTTGTTTGGCATGACTGAAAATCTGAAGATGATAGGAAAAATCAAAGGGATGAAAGACCCCAGGTCATTCAAACAGAAAACAAGTACCTCTCCAATCACCACATGGCTCCAATCTCCTATGGCAACTCCTTACCCCAAACCTAAGAGGAATGTGGCATTCAAGACAGTCTTTGTGAAGCAAGTAACTAGTCAGAGGTACATGTGGAAGTCTGTGCAATGGTGTTAGAGATTAACAAATTGGATGGGTTCTTGAGCTGCTGAGTCTGGCATATAAACAGAAGTAAAAGATGATATGCAAAGAAAGAAGATGTGATATTGTTTGACAGTCATGCAGGGTTCATGTTTATAGCTGCAGAAAAAGGAAGAGGCATTTTGAAAAAATTTATATGGGAGGAGGATATTGGAATCTGGGGGATTCAAACTAGAAGGAACATCTGAGACTTTTGGCTTTAGTAAACCTGACAACCTCAATGGTAAAGGTTCAAGATACTGCAAAGATAACATAGGCTACCTCCTTGGCATTCGTATCCTAGGGGCTTGGTTCCTGGAAGCATAGAAGAGCCAGGCTGTTGATTTGTGCTGTGCTGGAGATGTGCAGAACAGGAATCAGCATGCAGGGGGCTGGAGCTGCACAACCCTTGGTTGACCCCTTGCAACATATGTTGATTGCCATTCAGATGTGATGACTGAAGATCAGATGTTCGTTTGACACTGAGATCCAAAAGTGGGGGAAGGGAGGAAGAAAAATTAAATCACTGTTTGGCATGATTGGATTTGCATTTGAATTAAGACCTATGTGCAAGGCAGAAAACCCTATTGATCTCTCACTGCCCTCTATGAGCGCCGGTTTCCAACTTTGGAGCAACAAAAGAGGGAGGTTTCTCTTTACATCATGCCATAAACAGCATATAGACCCCAAAGGCAGGGCCAGGGAGGGCCAGGGCTGTCCTGGCATGTTATGCGTTGCCTAAAACCAGATGGAATAAATTAGGATTGTTCTGTTTGTCATACATGCTAATCCACATATGCAGAGCCAGATGCCAGGCTTAACTGGCTTGCTTCTCTGCAAACATTTTGTTTTAGTCTCTTACATTGGTAGATAAAAGATACTTACTGGTATCTCATCTCCAACAGTCTGTAATTCATGTCCCTACAGTGCTTTAGTATAAAGGTGATGTCCATTTTAACACAGTGCTGGGGCCTCTCCTGTCCTAGTTCTCCTTGTTTTTTTCATTATGTTTAGGATGTTTCCCTGTGTCTCCCTTTCTTTTTGGTCAGTCAAATGAATTAATACTTGTTCCAGATGTTCCAGGACTTACCTTCCAGTGTCATGTCCTGGGAGCTATCAGTATGTTTTAAATATGGAAATTACAAATGTGTTAGGGGAAAGAAGGCAAATTATACCAACATTTGCTTTAGAAAGTAATACTTTCCTCTGACTATCCTCAGGCCTAATGCATTTATTCAGGATTTAATTTACTGTATCTGTTTAATAATTTTTAAAGGAGATTGCAGAAAGTATAATAAAACTCTAAGGAATATGGATATAATGAAATAGATACATCTATGTCTTAAATAGATATATATATGCATTTTAAACAAAGAACGTTTACCCTGTTTTATGCCTTTGATACACATTTCCATCTCATCTTACATTTGCACTAGAAGATGTGATTTTTCACAGCGCATTGTAATCAGAACAGTTGTTAATACGTTATACAATGACAATACTGGTAGATGGCATGGAGCATGGCGAGACAATGCCATACCCTGACGGAGGACTGTGCCCAGCCTGCTGCTCTTGTCTAGGAGGGGCTGGATGCCCCTTCTCCCCTCCAGGTGAGGAGGGAGGTGTCAAGATGTTAGTATCCCCCAGTCAGTGCCAGCAAGGAGGGCCAAGCTGTGACCATGGAGGGACTACCATGGGTCCTGCCTGGCTCCCTCCCCTCTGCCCCCTGCACATGCTCGTTGCTGCCTCAGCTATAGTACAAAGGCGCAGTAAGGGGCTTTTCAAGAAAAGAGAGTAAAAAATTTATGTGGAAAAATGTCATCCCTCAGGGTTTTGTGCATGTGGCGAGGGGAAAGGAGAAGAATTAAATAAAAAGACTTTGTTTCAAAGTTCTTCAACCCAATCGTAGGCTTTTGGGTTTGCTGAACTGACCCAGAGCAAAGCTCTTGGGGCCTGCTGGGTCTAAGACCATGGTCCCATGCCAAATGCACAGCACTGCCTCATGGCAGTGGGTGCTTGGGCCTGACTTGCCATTGCAGTTGTGGGCTTTGCGCCCTGCCCAGGCAGAGCTGTGCCTGGCTAGGGGACAGCAGGCACCTCACCGCTGCTCAGAGGTGCCACAGCACTCTCCAGGAACACGGTTCATGGCAATATGACTCAGAATGAATGGTTTGGGGCCCAGTCAGAAAACTCAAATAAAATTTCTAATTTGGAAGTGCCAAAGTTTTTTTCTTGGGTTAAGTTGTCAAAGCAGATTGTTGCCACACTTCCACATGTCTAATTTTTTCATGTTCCCTCAAAGAGAGAATGAATCCTATCCCAATTTGGAGGAAAGTAAATGTTGTACAATCCCAATTTTATTTCAAGGTGGGAATATGGATTTATTTTTCATTTAATTGCTTATCCAGTAGTCCCTATAAAATAAACCTGATCTCCTCGATATGAAAAGGAATTTTAGTCCAAGACAATCCCAATTACAGTTTAGGATGTCTTGTTAATGTAAACATACTTAATTGAAAGAATGAAGCAGGTTTTGCTGAAGACTTTGTCCTACTCCAGCATGGAGCATTCCTGAAGAACATCTTCGGATACAAAGGTAATGTCCCGTCAACACAAAGTTCCTTGAAGTGCCCAGAGCAGTCCCTGCAGGCAGCTGAGCACTTGCAGGTCCAGTTCACAATGGTGGGAATGAAGGACCCTCTCACAGCCCCAAAATGGTGTGCTTATGGGAAAAGAATTCAAGTGATCTTTAGTTGCTCATAACTGGACACAGATTTTCAAGAGAGCTCTGGTACAACCTGGGTGCCAGAAGATGTGCCTGAATTTTCAGGAGGAATCAGCAGAATGCCTTTTGAATAAAAACAAAAATTCAAAAATTAAAGTAAAGCTCTGCTCAAAATCTGACCTCTGTGTCTTCTAATGCTTCCCATGTGACTTTGTGTTCCCTCCCTGTAGGAGGCAAACAAAACAGAAAAAGGGTTCTTCAAGATGACAACCAATCTCTCTTCCTCTTCTGCTTGCCTGCTTGTCTTGATTTTGTCTTCAGGTTGATTACTTTCTTACTCTGTGGAGTTGCTTGGTCATGACTTGTAATGGCCTTAAGATCATTTACAAAGTGGCCAGCCTAAGGACTTACATGTTGAATGTTTAGTAGTTTTCTATATCAGCTCGATTTGTCCTGGTGGCCCATTGGCACCATAGCCTAATAACTTTGATGCTTCTGGCTGACTTTTCCCTCTTTCCTTCAAGCTTGTGTTTTGAACTTCAAACTGTGCCCTGGTCTTCTACAGAAGAAAAGATTGCTTTTTTTACATTTTGCTGTATTTAACAGCAACAAGGGTTTCTGAGGATTAGACATACAGGAAAGGAAATTAAAAGTTAAATGTAAGGCAGCAGTTATTAGGAAGGGTCAGAAGTTCTGGTTCTCCCAAGAGCTGAGCAAAATCAGAAGTGTTAGGAGGAGACCAGCTCTGAGGTCTGATGCCATCTTTCTGTCTTACCCACTCACAACCCTCAACATAAGTTGTATCGCATTTTCAGCCACCATGAAGCGTAATCCTTTTTTTACTTTTCCCCTCCCTTTTTCTGTTTGTTGGTTTGGTTTGGTTTTCTTTTAGTATATTGTACCAAAGTTTAGCCAATACTTGCTATGGTGTAGGTATCCATGATCAATAACGACAAACATGATGAGAAAATGAGAGGCCGTCTTTCCATGTCCAGGAGCAAGTGACCGCCTAGAAGCACACGAGGTTACTGGTGGGTCAGCTGGTGGGTATATCATGGCTGCCAGGACCGATATGCAGTGTAGTCTCGTGTTGGTGCATAGGATGGGTAACCCTTGTTCTTCTGGTATGGTGGATGCCGGGGAGTCATGTTCATGTAGTCACTCTGATGGTACATATTGGTTTTGGATTTTTGCTGCGGGAGAAGGGTAAAGGGAAGTGTGAAAACATTCTGCAATTAGTCTGTCTCACCTGGCGTGAACATTCAAAGAGGGAGAAGAAAGGGAACAAGGATCCTTTGAGCAGAGGGGTTTTGACTGTTAATAAAACCTGAGACAAGTTAATAACAGATTTGATTAATTTTTCCTTCTTCAAATCAATAAATTGTCTCATCCAGCTTTCACATTAACTGCTGACAGTTCTGGCCCTAGGTCCTGATTCAGGGAAGTAAGCGTATTTAGAAGGCAGCCTCAGGTTTAAATACATTTACAAAAGAATTAGAACACATGTTCTCATAAAATAATCTATGGAATTTGCCCAACCTCAATGCAAGTCTCCAGCTGATCTGCTGAGAGATTTACAGTGTTAGTTCTGCAGATAAAGGAATGCTGCAAACCACAGGTACAAACTGATGCCTCTGACCATCAATTCTCAGCTGTGGAATGACTCAGCAGAAGCAATAGAGTGAGCAGTGAAGGTGGTCCTCATTCATTAAGAGGAAAAAAGAAATTAGCTTAACTCAAACGGAGTAAGAGCAGGAAAAATCAGCCCAGGCTATGTGTATCATTGTTTGCCTACCATTTACAGCAGTAGCACATAATGTGTATGTTGTTCTGAGCCTTCCTTCAAGGGGCAAAACATCAGAGCTGATGTTAATCTTTTGTCTGTCTCAGTATCTGGGCCTCAAAAATCTCATTTCCACTGCTGAATTCCTGCCTTATAATGCCCCTGTGAGACAAGGGAGGCATCATCTCTTTCAGAAATAAGAGTAGCAGAAAACAGGTGAAATAATTCATCTATAATCTCAGAGTAAGTTTGTGGCTATAGCAGCATTTGAACCTCTGACTGCTGCAGGCTCTGCACAAGGTTGGTGTTTCTGTGTAGTTTAAGACTTTATTGATCAGGGGCTATGTAAAGTGCTTCCATGCTTTTTCCTTAATACTGATCATATCTTCTTTTGCCTTCTCCTTTTTACTGATGTTTCCTTCCTATGTATGTAAATATTTGCATATGCTGCAATATACTTGTGATGCTGTGGAACTGGAGGAATCTTGCATTAGAAAATCTGATGGCTGAATTATGCTGTACATGCAGAGTGGGGCAGTTACTATGAAACATTTTAAGCTTTTTTATATTGTGTTATATATGCAAGGTGTTGAATGTAAGTTATATGCTGCTTAAGCCATGCAATGCAGTCGATGCATGTAAATCATTAGATAGAAAAGCTTTACTTGTATGTGTTCATCTCCATAATATAAGATTTTTAATTCCCGAGAGGTAATTTTGCATGGGAGAAAGACATTTTGCTAGCATGAGTGAATGCTGCTGGATTGTTACAGGATCAAAGACTGCTGCTTTTAGAAAGGAAAGCAGTTTTCCTCCAGGACAGGCAGAACTGTATGAAAATAGACAAATCTTTAGCTGCTTTCAGGAACTGAAGTGAAACAGGCTTGCTATGGGTGTCAAGTATCATATTTTAGGACTTTTTAAAATTTACAATCCACAATGTCTTCTAGGCAGCAACACTCTAAATACATCCGCACTCAGAGTACATATTATCAGGAGAATACCACCAGCAGTGATAATAGCAGGTAAAAACTGATGCAGCAAACAGCACACATCACAGTGCAGCCTTGTTACTCTTGCTGGAGACAGACATGTTAGTAGTAAAGTGCATAGCCATTAGGTACCAAACGAATATCTTGGAGAGAAAATGGTTCAGATAGTAAATGATGGATTTGCAGCTTCAATATCTCATCAGGGCACAGGCACTGTAACACCAGCAGCTGTTTGTTGTAATCCTCTCAGCTCTCCTAGGAGTCAGCCTCTACAATAAGGCACAAAGAAGTACGACTTAACCTGCCTTTGCGTTTTCCTATGGCAATGCCCTATTTGATTGTTTTCCATTAGAAATAGCCATATATTGAGCAAGTGTATTTTTGTGAAACACTTAACAGATCTCAAGCTTCAGCTAGCAGTGAAAGTGGCTCTCTGTATACATACAACACTTAACCTGTCAGAGACTCTGGGCCCTTTATACAGGCTACCTTGTAAAGTGTCAAAAATCACTGTTTAAGGACAAAGATACAGCAGAAAGGCAGAGTACAAGGAACAGAGCTCTCTATGGTCATTGTTCAAGTCTTTCCCACATTGAGTAAGTAATGTAAATCAGCTCTTGAGAGATCACAATCCTAAGACTTGTCTAGGAAGATGTCCTTCTGCTGCCTCTGCATCATGCCTCACTCTCTCTTTACTCCAACAGGCAGAACTGGTGGTGACCTGGGCCAGCCAACTCTCCAGAGACATTAGAAAGCAAAAATAATGAGCCATAAGACTCTCTCAGCTTTCTTAGGGTTAATGTGCAGAGGCAGATAAGGGACTACTGAGATCCCAGTGCTCCTATTCCCTTGCAGTCAAGCTGCCAGAAATAGTGAGTACTCGAGGGAATTGCTGAATAGGCACAAGACATCAGTGCAGATGGTCTTGAGGCAACTGAGGGTTCACTAAAGATTGTTTTACTGTAGGTGAACTTCTTCTGTCAGTATAGTCTCAACAGGTTTTGCCAGGAATGCTCATAGTGCTAGATTTCCTTGACAGGGACAATTGGCAGAGCTAGGGACAGTGTCCCAGTATTGCTGGTGTGCAGGGCACTGCCGACACTATGGCATTACTGTTTGCTTTAGGGCTCTACTGCAGAAGCCTGACTGCCCACCTGGAGAGCATCTGGTGTTTCACCTCTTTTGGGGCATAGCATAGGTGTGCATATATAGTTGGGGCAGAGAAGTACTGTGATCCTAAAGTGAGATGTTTCAGTGAATTTGTGGTAAACATTGCAAGTATAGCCTGAGAAATTAACTAGGGACAAAGAGCATATAGAGCAAAGGAAAATAGTGGTTTCTTACCCAGTAGTTAATAAAAACTGCGGTTAGTAGCATACTGTAGAAAGCCAGAACTCCAGTTACTGCCACCATAATCCACAAAGGAATTGCAGACTGAGGCTGTTGTGTTTGGCTGGGTGTCTCTTTAAGGAAAAGAACACAGAAAACTTTAAATATGTGAAAGCAAAAAGAAAACTTTAAATACATGAAAGCAAAAACCTCAATCTCTGCTTATTTACTCCTTGTTCCAATCGTTGTT